TGGTTCGTGGGATTCATCACACAATCACAGTTATTTGTTGTATTAACCTAATATGACTTGAGCCATCTTTTCCTGTCAGCACTGAGAACATTCTCACAAATAAAATTAAACAAGCTTCTCGCTAGGAATAGGGAATTCATGCTGCGTTTTCCTTACTATGCCTCTAGGGGGCAGGATTGTCTAACTAATGAGCCAAAGGGCTGGCTGGGCTCTTTTTCTCTTCCCCTTTTGCTAGTTACTGAGAATAACTAGAGCAAAATAAAATATTCTTTTGTGTGACTATATATGCATTCTCTACAGACGTTGTCTTCTTAAATTTGTAGCTGCAACTTTTGAAACTATTTTCAGATAATTTAGAACTTCTATAGTATAGAATAGAATCTACACAATGTTTCGTTTAATATTAAGAAGTAAATTTCAGACATGGTCTCTAGTTGCATAAAACTTTAAGAGGAACTTATTTTAAAATTCAGCGTTTAACTAAATTCCTCATATCAAGCAGGGCAGTCTTAGAAACCATCCAAGTATCTATTGGATACAATAAAATAGACCTTAACTTCCGGGATCTGTCAGCCGCTTCCTCTGGGCCTCCCTCCTCCCTCCTCCGTCGGTGCCCACCGGAGTCCTGTTCGCATGGACTGACCGGAGTCCACGAATCTTCCGCTCTGGCTTTCCGGACCGACCCGACCCCAGAGTGTTGTCTACAGCAGCCTGTGGTCTGTCAGTTATTGGGGGACCCTCCCCAGCAAGAGAAAAGCCATCTTTCCGAGTAACCTTAAGATTCTTCGGTTCCACCCCCACCTCCCGCCAAAGTTGCGCTCTTTTCTGCATTACTATTCATTACATAAAGTCCTTTATGTAGGACCACCAAAGTTCTCATTTGACTCTGCCACTTTGTCGGGTGACCCTGGGAAAGTTGATTCTCGGTGTCTCGATTTACCCAGCTGCAGTAAGAAGAGTCTTTGTCTACTTGGCTTTTACTAGGTTCAAGAGCAGCTGCTCAAATGATAATGAAAATAAATAATAGCCATTACTAATGCTTCATAGACATTTACGAATGCCTGCCTTCCTTGCCTTTCCTCTCTCTTTCCTTGTACTGGAAGACTAGGATTTGTTTCTGGCCTCATTCAAATACTCAACACTCTTGGGAACATGCTTTCTGACTTTTGAAAACACTTAAGTATCATGTCTCTGCATCAGTTTCTGCTAGAGCCTGTCACGCCTGTAACAGGGATCGTACCCACATTGCCCTTAGCCCCAATGTGGGAGCCAGTGGACGAAGGCTCGTGAGCTGAAGGAACATAGTGGACACATCACAGGTATTGATTGACTGGGTACTAAGAGCGACCGCATCGTCACTTGTGGGCAGACCGAAACGCATCTGGAAGCCTACCCTGGTGATCCTGAGGATTAACTGCGCAGCCACTTTTGTGAAGCGGTCCCCACCCGAGAATAAGTTTGCTGTGGGGAGTGGGGCCCGGCTCATCTCTGTATGTTACTTTGAGTATGAAAATGACTCGTGGGTGAGCAAGCACATTAAGAAGCCACTTTGCTCCACAGTCCTTAGCTTGGACTGGCATCCCTACAACGTTTTGCTGGCTGCAGGCTCATGTGACTACAAGTGAAGAGTGTTTTTTGCCTACATCAAAGAGATGGATGAGAGAAGCCAGCCAGCACTCCCTGGGGCAGCAAGATGCCTTTTTGGTCAGCTGATGTCTGAATTTGGTGGCAGTGGCACCAGCGGCTGGGTGCATGGGGTCAGCTTCTCTGCCAGTGGGAGCCGCCTGTCATGGGTCAGCCATGACAGCACTGTGTCTGTTGCTGATGCCTCAAATGATATTGTGTGCAGGTTTATACTCTGAAAACGGACTTCCTGCCACTGCTGAGTGTGTCGTTCATCTAAGAGAACAGCGTTGTGGCCGCTGGCCACGACTGCTGCCTGATGCTATTTAACTATGACGACCGTGGCTATTTGACCTTTGTGTCAAAATAGACGTCCCAAAACAGAGCATCCAGCGCAACATGTCTGCCATGCAACAGGGACAAGAGAGCCACAACTGAGGACCGCGACACAGCCTTGGAGACACTGCACCGGAGAAGCATCACTCTGCTGTCTATGAGCTGGACAAACGAGACTGTCAAAAATTTTGCAGTACTGGCATTAATGGAGCCATGACAATTTGGGATTTCAAGACCCTGGAGTCTTCCATCCAGGGCCTCCGAATAATGTGAAGCTGACTGAGCCTCTGCCATCCAGCATGAGGAAGAGACGGGGCTGCTCACACTCTGCCGTTGGCTTGCTGGTGAGGACCGCCGGCCTGTGGAAACACTGTCATGCTATCAAGCAACTAGCTTGATAGCATGTGTTCCTGTGGATGTTGTGGGTGAAGTGTGGGTTTTAAAAACAGCAGGGGTTTTGTTTTTGTTTTTTTTTCTTATCTTTTCATTTTGTTTTGATTTTGCTATCTCATTCCATTTTTGACAAAAGCTTCTCTCTAAGTAGTTTATTATGGAAGATTGTTACACTAACTTAAAGGGTAAGGGAAGTGTGTATTGTCTGGTAAAAAATTAAAAACCCAGGGTGCAAAAAGAAAAATAGCCCTACAGTCAAGGAATTGAAATAAGTTGGAGAGAACTACAATTGTAGGATATTACGTATTTTTGTTGTTATTTTTGAGACAGGGTTTCACTACGTAGATCTTGGTGTCCTGACACTTACTCTGTAGACCAGGCTGGCCTCGAACTCATAGACACTGGCCTGCCTTTGCCTCCCAAGTACTGGAATAAAAGGCTGCACCACTATTGCCTGTCATAAACAACAGTTTAAAGAGGTAATATATTCCCATGAAAAGTTTTGTCCCGGTCAGACATTTGTTTTACTGTTTTCTTAAAACAGTATTTTAATTGTTCGAGACTTTCACACAGTTTTTTTTATTATAGTCACTGCACCTCCCCTAGCTTCTACTAGATCCACCCCTATGTCCCTTCATGTTCCCTACCCACGCAACTTCACGTTCCCTGCCTTAAAAACCTTAGAGTCCCATTTGTCTAGGTCAACTACTGTTCAATATGGTGGCTTCCCTGAGGAGTAGTTGAACTATCAGAGGTCACAGCATTAAAGAAAACAGCCTCTCTCTTTTTTATTTATTTATTTATTAAAGATTTCTGTCTCTTCCCCACCGCCGCCTCCCCTTTCCCTCCCCCTCCCCCAATCAAGTCCCCCTCCCTCGTCAGCCCAAAGAGCAATCAGGGTTCCCTGCCCTGTGGGAAGTCCAAGGACCACCCACCTCCATCCAGGTCTAGTAAGGTGAGCATCCACGAAACTGCTTAGGCTCCCACGAAACCAATAGGTACAGTAGGATCAAAAACCCATTGCCATTGTTCTTGAGGTCTCAGTAGTCCTCATTGTCCACTATGTTCAGCGAGACCGGTTTTAACCCAGGCTTTTTCAGACCCAGGCTAGCTGGCCTTGGTGAGTTCCCGCTAGAACATCCCCATTGTCTCAGTGTGTGGGTGCACCCCTCTCGGTCCTGAGTTCCTTGCTCGTGCTCTCTCTCCTTCTGCTCCTGATTTGGACCTTGAGATTTCAGTCCGGTGCTCCATTGTGGGTCTCTGTCTCTGTCTCCTTTCATCGCCTGATGAAGGTTAATATTCAGGAGGAAGCCTATATGATTTTCTTTGGGTTCTCCTTCTTATTTAGCTTCTCTAAGAACCCGAATTATAGGCTTAATGTCCTTTATTTATGAAACAGCCTCTCTTCCCAGCAGTTATTAAATGCCAATAGTTCCTCAGCTAGGAGTGAGACTCTGGGCCACCTCTCCCCATCTCTATCCTGGTATTTTGTCTGGCTTGAGCTTCTGCAGGCCTTGTATGTGCTATCACAATCTTGGTAAGTTTATATGTGCATCTGCCCTGTTCCGTCCAGATAAAACTGTTTTTGAGCCCATCTACCACCTCTGGCTCTTATCATCTTTGCGCCCATCTTCTGCAATGACCCCTGAGCCTTGAGTGGATAGGTGTAAGGTAGAAATCCTATTTAAGGATAAGGATTCATAAGTCTTATTCTCTGCATGTTGACCTGTTGTGAGTTTCTGTGTTGTTATCTACTACAAGAAGCTTCTTTGATGGGAGTAGAGATTCTCTGATCCATTCATTAAGAGTCATTTTGATGCTATGTCCACTTAGCAGAAAAAAAGTAGTACGTTTTCCCTTAGAGCCCATTACCTATCCAACTACATGTTCTTGGCCTCATCCCCAGTGCTAGGTATGTGCTCCCTCTCATGTAGCAGGTATTAAATCTAATCAGAAAGTGGCTGGCTACTCCCATAACATTCTTGCTACTGTTGCACCAGTTGGCATATCTTGCCAGGAAGGTCATTATTGTAGCTCACAGTTGTATACATTTAGGACATGGCTGCTCCAACATATGGTAGAGGGAAAGGTTTCTTTGTTTGGTTTTATTTATTTTTTGCTTTTTGAGACAGGGTTCTTCTCTGTGTAGCTCTGGCTGTGCTGGAACTCACTCTGTAGACCAGGCTGGTCTCGAACTCAGAACTCAGAGATCCATCTGCCTCCCAGGTGCTAGGATTAAAGGCATGTACCACCACTGTCCAGCTTGAAGGGAATATTTTCTTTTAAATACCAAGGAGAGTAAAGCCAGGGGCATCTGGAAGAGTCCAGAGCAGAGTGATGAAACAGACTGAACAAGGCCAGCAAACTGGCCATGGCCATGGCTATCCACTAGAGAGGGAAGAATATCAGGGATAGGTAATAGAGACAACATAGTGAGACAAAAATAGCAAGGAGAACAGGGTTATAAGGAGAGTGAGTAGCTGGGGGCATGGAAGCCTGTGAACTGCAGGGAGTTTAGGGTAGGGGACAGGTGCGAAGGGCTAGGATGCTAGCACGGACTTTGAAATGTGTAACAGGTACTTGTGATACTAGGGGGCCCTGGTGGACAGCATGGGCTTTGATAAGCAGATAACTGCCACAGGTAGCAGTTTTTCTCACTTTTTCTCACTTTTATTTATGACAGATTTCCCCTGATCTCTTCTGGTCAAAAATTCTTGGAGACAATTCCATCGGCTTTAGCCAATCGGAGAATAGAATCATCTGACTCGCCCATCCTGCGAATGGCGCCGCAGATAGCGTAGGTTTTAAACTGGCCATTAAACCGACCTGTGACCCTGTCAACCTCGGCCACGTTCATCTGGATGGACGCGTGGTCCTTGGTACCAATGATGCGGTTGCTCGTGGAGCATTTCCGCGGCACGTACAGGTCCACGAACTCACTGGCGTCGTTCTGCATGTCGAGGTCCTGCCTGCTCGCTAGGCCGCGGGAGCGCAGAAAGGAAGTGGCTCGTCGCGGGGCAGCCCATGTTCCATTATTGTGAACCGACCCAGAATGCAAGCCTTTCAGTCCAACCAATCAGATTAATTTGTCCTTCCTGTTGTTAGAACAGCCATTAATGTCTTAGAGAACTAAGGGGCATAACAGACTCCTATTGTTTAGGGATGAGGTGGGTCAGCCATTGGAAGGTTCTGAGCTCCCCTAAGGCTTGGGAACTTGAATCATATTTCACCCTATAGGTTAAATGAAGTCTGAAGTCAAAATGGCAGTACTTAGGGCAAGGTGCTTTTGCCTGTTCCCTTCAAGTCTATGGAAGACATTCTCCTATTCTGTTCATATTTAAATAAATGCTCAACTTTCAGGGTAAATAAACTAAAAGGGCAAAATTTTAAATTTGTGTCATATCTATTGGGTGCATCCTTATCTGTATATCGCTACTAAGAATTTGACTCTTTGAGTTGCTTTCTGGAGACTCTTGGTTGAATTCTGTAAGAGATGTTATATTTGGAGCAGACAGGGTTATTAGATCATTAAAATAATAATGCTGCTGCCAAAGCTCATAGAATTAATCCCTTACTTCCTTATCAATTATTTATCCTTCCTTCCTCTTCATCTTCTTTTGGAATTATATATCAACAAGGTAATGGCATTATAGAAATTTATTTATGTCATAATTCTCCACAACAACCTGTAGCTCTTTATTTACAGAAAATTATAGACCTAATAATGACAGAAAGGATATGTATTAACAACTTGCTGATAAAGACTCTACAGAAATTATTGTAACATTATTTGGTCTACACTGATAATAATTGGTAAGTTGAATTAGCATGCTACTTAAGATCGTTATTCCCCTTTGAGACTGTTTTTGAAGATACCCCATGGGTGCTTCCTAAAATTACATCTAAATATCCTATAAAGATTGTTTTTAATGTTTTTACAGATGGCTCTTCAAAAGGATAAGGAGAATATATTTCACTCTTACCTACTATAGCATACTGTAAATATAACTTAGATTCAACTTTTCTTTAGAAAAGCAGATCTATTATAACATACTGTACCTGTAACTTAAATTCAACTCTTGTTTAAAAAATAGACATGTTTTTAAGTAACAACTATGTATCATCTGGATAAAAGCAATCATGTGGTTGACAGCCATCTTACTAAGGTTAAAGGGTACATACCATTTACCTTCATCACCATCTTGATAAAGGTGACCGTGTGGTATAAACCAACTAAGACAGCACCTATAAAACTTCTTAGTCCTACCAAGCCCTCTGTTTATTATTGTATCTCCTTTTCAGATTACAGAGGCAACAGCAGGTCTTCAAAATATTTTGGATTAGGATGTATTTTTATATGATGATCAATTTCTAAGGTTACAAAAGTAAACTCAGGTTAACAAAAACAGAGTTAGAGATAATGTCTAACCACTTATATCTTTGCAACCGTGTTAAACAACAGGTTTCTAGAAAATGTTAAAAAGGAAACAACATATGTTTGATAAATAAGGTATGCTAGATAAATAAGGTCTATAAAGTCCTAATGTCTATTCAGGCTAGCAGAAACTGACTTGAAGATGTATGTCTAGTCTCTTTGTCTTTGGGACTGTATTTATGGTTTAAAGTTTTATTTTGATGCTAAGAGATCTTCAATTGAAAATTTTAAGGCTCAAACTAAACAGGGATAAAGCTGTAAAATCCTAATCTTATAAAAGCTACTAATGTCTTATAAACTGCTAAAGATAAATAAGACACACAATTTAATAGTCACCTTTCAGATTCTTTAATGTGCTCAGAATTATGCTTTTTGTGAGACTAAGTAAGGCCTTCTATAAAATGCTGTCAAAGTTAAGCCTGAAGCAAGTAACAACTAAAAACAAAACTTATTTTAAATCAGGTATATGTAATAAAGATGGTCCTCAAACTCCCTGGAGAGCTGCTGAACAGAGCATTTAAAAAGTTTAATAAGAAGGCTTCTGATTATAAAAGAAATACCAAATCCTAGCTGCATTTCTCTGTCATTTTAATTGCTACAGAAGCCATGTGGATTATACTTCCTGCTCCAATTTATCCTTTTCAGATCTCTGGGAATGTTGATGACTAACTACAATTTTAGTTAGCGGCCTTATCAGTTTAACAACAGCAAGTACCCAATTCCTCCCCCTACAGCTGCAGCTGCCTGGTCAGTCCATTTCATATGTAAAAATCAGACTCACAGTTTACTTTGCTGGCAGAATTCATACTGAAAGAGATAAACACACAAAACAGGGTTCAGTGTCAATTCTAATGAAAAATGACAGCAATACCGAACTTCTGGCACCTATGTCTATTGAGAACACAAACAGGAAGAGCCTGCCTAGGAGGAAAGCCAAAAACAGCTCTGTCATGGGTAGGAGGATGCTGCAAAGAGTTGGTGCAATGATAGATGATTTCCTTGCTGATACCTGGTCAAATTATGCATCCTTCCAATGATATGCTTGCATTGCTAAAAAATAAGAAATTTTATCTTATCCTTTACATCAAAAATGGAGATACTCTTATTTCAGGCACTGAGAACCCAAACACCACCCAATTCCCTTTGTGTATTTGATTACTTCATGTTTTAAAATTTGTAGTTTTGAAAAATTTGCATTATTGTACAAATATAACAAAAATTTAAAAATAACAGTATAGTCATGAGATGGATTTTTAAAAGTTAATAAATTGGAGTCAAGAAAGTTTTTAAAAAATTTCTTCTAGATAATATAATAGCCTAGGAATGCAAACATAATTTTTGCTTCTCAAATTTACTTGGTGGCCAAAGGAATTAAACAAAAAATGCAATCTTTAGAAATTAGATAATTTTAAAGTTTTCACCCCAAACTATTTTTGATATAGCCTGGGGATCTGTTACATCAAATTGCTTATGAAATGTAGTAAGAAACAGACCCTTCCAACAAGTACTCTAAGCATCTAGTACATAATTAGTAATGCATGGACATCAACTTGACATCTAAAATTATGGATTTCTGTGCCTGGGGCCTTCTCTGCTGTTAGATATAATGAGATATGTGCTCAAAATTCACTACAGCCATGTGCAATGCCTCTCCCTCGCTAATCAGCTACAGAGCACAGCCACAGGCATGGCATGAGGTTCTGGGGTCTCCAAGAAAAACCATTGTGCCATATCTGGAACTGACTTTGTCATATAGCTCTTTATGCTTGTCCTTTCTAGGACCCATTGCAACTATAAAATGACAATGGTCCCACTTACATTAACAAATGATTTAAAATTTTTATTATTATTCATGTTACTAAAATCCCTTATTATGCACAGGATCAAGTTACTTTGGAAAATTTTAATTAAAAAAGGTAGGCACTACCTAAAGTATATTTCAGTCAATGAAAAGGCCCAATGTTCTAACCTCGAGATGAGGTTATGATTACATCTTTCCAGAAAATGAACAAAGACTCCATCTTGAGTAGCCCTTTTTGCGAGTTTTGTAACTCTGATTTTTAATGGGTGACATGACACTGAAGGAGCCTTGAAGACATCATGAGCTTTGATTTGCTAATAAACATCATAGATGGGTATTTTTCCCTTTTGCCAGAAAGAAGGGAAATGCTCTTAGTAGAGGGGAACTTAATTCCTTTGTATTTAACATTCCAGCCTTGCCAAGCAGTAGTGGCACAGTGGTGGCCTTTAATTCCCAGCATTCTGGGGGGCAGCGGCAAGTGGCTCTCCATGAATTTGAGGCCAGCCTGGTCTACAGAGTAAATTCCAGAACAGCCAGGGCTACACAGGGAAATTTTGTCTTGAAAAAAAATTCCAGAAACTGGGCAGTGGTGGTGCACGCCTTTAATCCCAGCACTTGGAAGGCAGAAGTAGGCAGATCTCTGTGAGTTCAAGGCCAGCCTGGTCTACAAGAGCTAGTTCCAGGACAGCTAGGGCTGTTATACAGAGAAACCATGTCTCAATGTCTTTAAAGGCTTTCCTGGATCTATAGAAAAGACTGGTCAAAAACTCACAGATCTGTCAGCCTCTGCCTTCTGCTGGGATTAAAGACATGCACCACCACACCCATATCTAAGATTCTTCTTTAATTCATTTTCACAAATTGGAAGGTTAGCTGGCTGGAATCTTGCTCTGAGGTCACCACCCTTTATTCCATTTCTTTTTTTTTCTTTTTTTTGTTTTTTTTTTTTTTCAAGACAGGGTTTCTATGTGTAGCTTTGGAGCTTGTCTTAGAACTTACTCTATATGCCAGGCTAGCCTTGAACTCACAAATATCCACCTGCCTCTGCCTCCTGAGTGCTGGGATTAAAGGTATGTACCACCACCACCCAGCTCTTTATATCATTTCTTAATTTCTTCATCTCTTGAACACAGGACTTAGCTCCATTCCACTCCCTGGTGATCCTTTTTCACCTCAAATTTTACATTTCCTTGCTCAGATTGCTCCTTTTTTTTTTATTATAAATGTCTTTTAGAGTTAGCAAAGAACAGCATCTTTACTAGGCTGTTTCCAAGATGTCCTCGGCCAATGGAATTAATCCAAAACTTCACTTTAGCCTCAGGCAGTCTTTTTAGACAAGGGCAAAAGTCAACCACATTCTTCATCAAAATATCACAAGAACAGTCTTTTGCTGAGCTTTTTTGGTTTGTTCTCCATCACTCTGTTATAGGATCAGATGGCCTTCTGACTTAGAACAGAGATTTTAGAGACATTTTTAAACAAAGATGCTTGTGGGAGAAGGCGTTCCATACCCCAACCTCAGCGTCAGCTTTTTAATAAAGTAGGACAGCATGAAGCACTACTTTAATATCCATACCCAAAAGACATCTGAATCCTTTAAAAACATGAATCCAGTGACCAGGGAGAGGTACCCGAGCAAGCAGAAAACAAAAGAGGTTTAGAGGTAAGAAATTCAGAGCCTAGGCCAGCAGCATAGCTCCTGATAGGTGGCAGAGCATGGGGTTTTAGGTACCCATGTGGGGGCTGCTTGCTGCCTGGAGCACCCACATTACCACAGCCACAACAAGAGCTCCATAGTCAGAGAAGGGAGCCAGCTAGGAGATAGAGCAAGCAGAAAAAAAGAAATCCTTCCTAAGCAAAGCATGGGTAGAGAAGTGTCTGATGTACCTACAGGACTTAAGCAGAAGGCTCCAGTGAGCAGGATGCTCCTAGGGGAGGACAATGGGAGACAAGTTCATGATAGGTAGAGACATAGTACACTGAAGGAGGAAGCTCAGAGATGGATTAGCT